TGGGCATTTTTTTCAATTTTTCAATTTACAAGTTTTCACGGTAGTAAAACAATGCAATGTTTTATTTTTTGTTTAGATAGTTGAAGTTTTATTAAACAAAATAGACTAAGAATTAAAAGTATGATAACATTTATTTCAATTTTTAAAAGTGAAATTAATTTTATCGGACTTTTAATTTTTAGTCTCTTACTTTGCTAATAAAACTTCAACGATGTAAAATAAAATAATTTAAAAAGACATTGCATTTTTTACATTGTTAAAAGACAAACGAGTCGTGTTTCTGTTAATGTGGCATTTAATTTGATTCCTCACTTGTTAGAATTGAAATGAATGTTATAAAAACTTATAAATTATGAATTAAAAGTACAATGTCTTTTTTGTTTTTAAATAAAACATATAACAAACCGTTATGTTTGTTATATCTCTCTGTGTAGTAGCAGTCGTAGCACAGTTCTCCGCGATACGTTTAGCAAACGGGTTTGCTAAGCAATACCCTTATGTTCACTGGTTGTTCTCTATTTATACTTGTCTATCTCATTTGCATACGATAATACATCTCCCTGAATTGGAGAGGTTGTATACCCTTGTTTTTTTCTTTTACTATTCCTGATTATTCTTGTACTGTGCTGTCCTTCCTCTTGTTTTTCTTGTTTTCTCTTTAATGTTGATCTCGGTCTCTCTTCATTTTCTTCTTCATACTCGTCGGTCTTTTCATTCTCACTTTCTTCCATTTCCTGCTCTGTCCCACTTTTGTAACATTCTGTCTCTTCTTGTTCTTGATCTTCCATTTCTACGTCATCCAGTTCATTTCTGCTTCTGAACTGATCTGCATGTGCCAGTATATGTTGTCCCTTTTTCTCAAGTATAGCCGTGTTGTGTCCTTTTTGTATCAGGAAATTTGCTTCTTCTGGATCAGCCTCTTCATTCTTTCTATACCATAGCTTTTCTTTTGCTGCAAAGGACATAGTTTTGGGGGCTCTGATTTGTCTTCACATTAATGCCAAAGGGCTCAGTTTTCTTTCTGCATATGGAATGGATCTGTAACTGAGGAGCATTTTTGGTAAACACGCTTCTATTCTTTCCTTAAGTGGTGAGAATGCTTTTAATCCCATTTGTACCATTCTTTCCGCAATGCCATTAGATTGTGGGTGATAAGGTGGTGTCTTGTATATGATGTATCCAATCTTCTTTAACCACACACATAAGTTCTCGTCGCAAAATTCAGATGCATTGTCAGTGACTATTGTCTGGGGTACTCAATTCCGTGAGAATATAGTTCTTAGTACTTGCTTTATTGTGGTGGCTTTTCTGTTTTTTACTCTGACAACCTCTGGCCATCCTGAATATGAGTCCACTAATACTAAGAACAATCCCTTATCTTTGAGATGTGCATGATCCATGTGGAACCTAACCTATGGCTCTTCTTCCTTGGGCCATGAGTGAATTTTTGCTAGCTTGAAGTTTTTGTATTTCCGTACATTTTGGACATCTCTTAATTTATTTCTCTACATCTTTTGAATACCCTGGCTACTAGGTTTGTAACTTTAGTCTGTTTTGCGTTGCTATTATGCCACAATGCACATCATCATGTACTCCTTTTAATATGTCCCTTCTCAGTATTTGTGGAGCTACAATTATATTCCGATTGCATATTATGTCATTTTCTATGGAGGCACGGTGGAGTTATGGATAGCGGCTCGGATTGAGGAATCGGAGAGCCGAGTTCGAATTCCAGTCGAATCCATTTACGTTCTAATACTCTTGGGAATGGTATGAATCCTTTTCTTCTTCTCCCAGCTATGGTAAATAGCAGGACAGACCGGGTTCTATAGCCTTGGATGGCTACTAGTCTACTGCAGAAAGAAATGGCAACCTACTGTGGGAACAAATCTGTATCGTCAATCATTTATTGAAAGATACATGATCGCCTAAGCGTGTATCACACATGACACATAACTGACTATGATTACTTTGTGCTTCGTTTCATTGTTAAAGTTTCGCTCTGCAATTGCTCCATACATTATTTTTATTCTCTCTACTATTCTGCTTAACATTGGGTCTTGCTTTGTTTCTATTTTGAGTCTATTTATAGGAAGAACGTCCGTTTCTACTCAGTATATTATTTGATCTTTAGCATTTTCCTGTTTGTATTTTTTTCTGTTTCATTCTTGAACTGTAATCTTGATAAAGCATCTACGTGAGGGTTAGTGTTCCTTGTTTACTGTGTCAAAATCGAATGCCATGATCTTTATCGCCCATCTTAAAATCCGATGTGACTTTTAACAATTCTTTTCTCGAGTTAAATATGAATTCCAGTGGTTTGTGGTCCGATTTTAATAAGAATTTTTTCTTATCAAAAAGTTTCGTGCCCTTTCCATGCTCCGTACAATCGCTAGTGCTTCAGTATTCGAATAGTTAATTTTTGCTGATGTTAACCTTCTTGATATGTACATGATTGGATGTTCTTCTTGTGATACAATAGCAGCAATCGCCTTTTCACTCGCGTCTGCGGTTAACGTTACTTCTTTTTGTGGATCAAAAACTTTTATTATTGGTTTGTTCCTTAGTATTTTCTTTAGTTTCAAAGGCGATAGTTTGCTTTTGTGTCCAGTTAAATTCATTGTATTTGTTTGTTTGTTTTTTGTTTTTTCGTAATTTTGCAAATGGCTATATGTCGCTGTATCTTGGTATGTATTTATTTACTACTATAAAAATATTTACCCCAAACGGTAAATGAATGCATGTTAGTAAGCATATAGGGATGTATATTGTGGTGATTTCCTTGAATTCCTCGTCAATTCCTATTTGGTTGTATGCTGCCTCGAGATCAATTTTTGCAAAGTGTTCCATTTTTGCTAACTCGTTGTTCTCTATTTATACTTGTCTATCTCATTTGCATGCGATGCTACATAAGCAAAAACAAATTATCTTTCTTTTAATATCGTAAAAAGTTTTCAAAGTTTTCCCGATTTAGAAAAAAAGAAGTAATGTCTTCGTTTTTTTTTTTTTTTTTTTTAAATATCCCCAGTTTTATTTTTTTTTAAATAAATAAATAAACACAATTGTATTTTTATTTCAGAATTTATCAGTGAGGAGTTATAAATACCATATTAACAGAAATACGGGAAAAAAATGGACTCATACGGGTATTAGATTCTGAGAAATAGATAAAAATATTAAAAATTGATGGGTGTACGAATAATTTCGTCATTAACTGTGTATATATATATATATATATATATATATATAATAGCTGGCTACTCTTATTTGAAGATACCCGTCGACTAGGGAGGCTAGCCACTCCCCTTTGTAGATGCTCGCTCAGGCACATTTGTGTTTGTTCAACACCCACAGAGCCAACCTGCAACAATGCTGAGCAGATCTTAGTTACAGTTTCTGGGAGAGAGCGTGTTATCTAGCATGATCATCAATCCGAAGTACACCAGCACACTCAAACACTCGATCACAGTGACTTGTGACTTTGTGCAAAGCACAGCTATTGACAGCCCCAAGTGTTCTGCCTAGCCAGTTTCACTCACCAGGCTTGGGTCAATCCCTGGTATGGTTTTCAGGCACTTTCCAAACATGCTAGGATTGTCCCCCCTCCAGACCAATAACATCAGGAAGTCTCTTCTTGACAAATCAACCATAGTGAGATTTGAACCCAGGTTTCATGGTCAGAAAGTGAATGTTCTAACCACTATATATATATATATATATATATATATATATATATATATATATATATATATATATATATATATATATATATATATATATATATATATATATATATAAAAAATAAATAAACTTTAAGGGGTTAATGTGCATTGTAATATTGTATTCCTTCTGGGGAGGGGTGGCAAACTTGAGTGGCAAAAATACTAGCTATGCCACTGTATAGTATGCTTCTTATGTTCTTCCCACAAAATTTTTTAGGCATTCCCAATCCTTGTTTTGCATATTTTATCTGTTTTTGGGTTGTCTTTTATGAAATAAGGAAAAACATTTAGATTAGTTAAAAACTCATAAATACGAGTAATGATAACTGATTTTATTTTATATATATATGAAAATTTAAGTAATCCATGATCTATTCATGCATTTTTCTCTTAAACATTTGCATACATAAAATATAAAAATGTATTGAAAATATTAACTATACATAAGACAAAATCTTATTTAATTCTATCTTATCAATTTATTGAGGATAAGAAAATTGAGTTGCTAATCTTCTTACTGTGCTTAAACATTTTTCTTCCATTGCCTTTAATCAATTTTGCTTAAAGTTTTGTCTTTTACCACATTTCAACTCATTTTCATGTATTAGGCCATAAATCTTTGTATCTCTACAGTTGTCAACCTGCTTACAGGGATATCTATCTTAAAAGGCACTATCTATCTTAAATGGCAATTTAGCAATAAGAGGTACTGGATATCTAAGTCTGTATCATATAGCAATAGTTAAATGACTCAGAAATTAAATGAGGTCAATATTTCACTCATTATAATTTTATTTACATTTTGATCTTTCAAAATTTACTACATGTTTAAAGCTAGAAAGTGGTGACCAGGAAAGTTATGTTCAGTGTATGTATTTGAAAGGAAACAGTTTTAAAATCCAGAAAATTGAGACACTTTATGACTGCACCAAAGTGGTAAGATGAAAAAATCAAAGCTGTAATATAATAATGAGTACTTTCTACAAACTCAAGATGTATGTTGCCAAAATTTAATGACTTCAGAACATACATTTGTGTGTGTGAAAATTTGACCCCAATCAAATTGATTTTTTGTTTCAATTTCTATCATATCGAGAAAGAATGCATTTATGAAAATGTAAACTAATTGCTTGGGTTTTATTTGTTATAAATAATTAGAGATTCTAAAGTTCTTTAAAAACTAATCTATATCTGATACATGAACCTGTTTAAATAATTCTATTTTTATTATTATTATTATTGTTTATTATTATTATTATTATTATTATTATTATTCAGGAAGCACATGATTCTGCTGACTCATTGTTTGGAACTCTTGGCAAGTGTCAACTACTGGCAGACAAGCAAAAGAATTTTGAATATAATCATAAATATTTCTCAGCAACACTTACAAAATATATCCACTGTTTGAACTAAACATTTAGAAGAATATTTATTCACACAGAATAAATATTTCAAATTCATTTATTCAAGAAAAAAAATATAAAATTGCTCAAAATTCCAAACTAAAATTAAAGTAAAGTTTACTATGTAGGTTAAAACTAGGAATTTTGAGTGGAAATAGAATAAAAATAAATTATCAAGATTTTTTATATTACTCTAATAAATTACTAACAATATATGAAACCGAAAAGTTGTACTCATACATTACACACTGATTTGAGCAAATATATCAATGAAGCAGTACATAATAATTTTGCAACATCAACATTTTATTCTGGACTGCATTAGATATATTGGTATTAATTTAAAATTGGTACTTATATTTATAAATCAGATTTAATTAAATAAGTACTCTTTTTATTGTGAAGAGATTATTATTATTATCATTATAAATGATGTATGCATTTAATTAATTTTTCCTATTAAAATGTTACAGATTAAGACTTTTATTTTTTGAAAAAATAAATGTCACATCAAAATCACAAAGTAATTCCTTTATTATAAGCATCATTTAAATCCTTCCATAATTTATCAATCAGAAACCTTATATCACTTTGTAGACAAACTATTCTTTTAAGATTCCCATAGTAAGAATATCTTAAAAATATTAAGAGATTTCTATAAGGTTGAATAGAAAAGCTTTTTTCGTGGATTCCCAAATCTAAAAAATGTATCATAAAATTAACAAGATCTATGATTTTATTATGTACTGCATCAATAAAAAAATACATAAATTGGAATATAGGTTCTTTACACACCATATGTAAATAAAATTAACCAGTTGTATTGTTAATAAATATTTTTTAAAATTCTCATTTCAGTTTTTTTCAACAAATTGTTCTTATTACCTAATAATAAATACATTGGCAATAAAATCTATGTTCTGATTTTTTTCTTTATTTCTTAATAATAAAATTTGAGTATATTTCCTTTTAGGATTTTAAAACAATATTGTGAAGAATAATTTTTATGAGCATCATTTAAACCCTTCAATAATGTATCAATGAAAAGCCTTATATTACTTTGTTTGTAAAATCTCACCTCTTATTAAGTAATAATAAATACATTGGCAATAAAAGTCTGTTCTGAATGGAAAATAAATTTAATTAACCAACATATAAAAACGTTCACTCAAATATGAAATTATATTCAATGAGTTAAAAATCAAGTATAATTAACATGATAACTAAAAATAAAAAGGTTTAATATAAAAATAATAAAAGTAATTACAATTATGGAAAATTGATTAAAAATGTCTCTTTCTAATTTTGAATATTTTTAAGTTATATAAATTATATTCTATTAATTGAAAACCAATTAAGGAAAATACAAGTAATTTAATGTAAAAATACTATATTTTAAAAAAAAACCCAAAGGTATTTCTCATAATTAAATCTAATGTATTGTTTTTATAAAAAAGTAATTACACAAAAAATAGTAAATTAAAATATAATGTAAGAATAAAAACAAATTTAAGACAGAATAGGTGGCTTTTGAAGATATGACTTATACATCAACGATTTGTTTCTACAAGTGGATCCAGATGAATAAAAATTCTCAGAAATATGTGACAGATACATCTTTGTAGGCATGTAAGATTTTTAGGTATAATTTTGTTAATCAAAGAAATAAATTTGTTATTATCAAAACTTATGTGGAAGTACTAAAAAGTTCTTGGCATTACAATAAAATTTGGATGTTTGATCAAGTTTTGGAAAGTGGACAGGACCAAGAATTTTCAGCATCACTTATATATGTAAAACAGTATCTCATAATTACCTCAACTATAATTTGAACATATACAAATGTGTATGTGTGTGTCATACCAAGTAACATCCATATCAGTAATGCATATATAGCATTTGATGAAACAACTAAAATAGGCAATTTCTGACATTTTATGTAAATTATAGTTATACTATTTTATTAGAAGTAGATCAACACAAATATAAATTGAAGACAAATTAGTTCAAACAATAAAGAAAGCTATTCAAGAAATAATTTAGGATCTTTTTGAGAGCACAAAATAAATGATTTAGAAAATGAGTGAAAAAAATCAAGTTGTGAAACATTACTGAACAGTGAGAAACTCAAAATAGTGACAAAGAAAAAAATTATGTTTGATAAAAATAATTAAGCTAAAACTGTTAATCTAATTTGTAACTGAAATTGAACCATCAACTTATAGTTTTTGATCCTTTCTTATTTGAAAATAATTTCAAATTATCTTTAAACTTATTCCTGAATGGGAATTAAGTTGAAAACTTTATTATTCAAAGGAAGTAGTTTTCTTATATTTTATCTATTTAAAATTAAATTTTATTGTATAAGGGAATTTTCTATTTAAATTTTGAATGTTAAAATATAGTTTATCCAAAGTAGGCTTTATTTAATTTGAGAGCAAACAATTATTCTTATATTTTTCAAATTTTCATTAAAATCCATCAGACTAAATTAAATTGTTTCTAGAAATTTGATTTTTAAATTACAGAGATTGTGAACATTTTTGAAAGCATTGGATCTCAAATATTTGGACAATACTTGCATTGAATCTAGATGAGTATTATTTTGTATTTAAGCAAGAAAAGTTAAATAAAATTTTTGAAAAGTTCCTCGTCTATCCTCTTTAATCAGACTTAATGAAAAACTGAGGACTAAACACAAACACACTCACATTTTTATGTAAGTATAACTTCACACAAAATAAACAGTATATATACATATATATGTGAATATGTGTGCAAATATTTGTATATAAGTATATATGTTTATAATTGTATATACAATTCTAAGAATATATTTTCTTATTTAAACTGAAATATTTTTATTTTGTAATAAACCATATTAACTGTTTGACTTTTAGTATAATAAATATTATTTACTGAGGGTATTTTCAATGACCTAATTTTTTGTCAATTTTAAATGTTTTTTTTATGATTATCAGTAGACCTATCAAGTTGGAACAAAAATTCATTATGTTTTTAAGGGAATTTCAAAGATAATATTTAGATATGTGTACATAAATTTATTCAATCACATATGTACCATTTCATTCTCATACCTTTTGTCATCTTTGAAGCAGCTTCAGGATTTCAATCAAGACCTTGACATCTTTTGGATTTCAATTTCAAGAACTTTTGGAATCATGATCTGATCTAAGTGGTTTTTACAGGATTACAGAGAATTGCAGTTGTTTACCATCCACACAACTCATATAGAAAGACATGTTGAAATGTCACCTTCCAGAAAGTGCATATATGTTATATATTTCAGTCACAGGTGAAACAAAATCACATGTTCAACCGAAAAATGTTACAAACTTTCGTTTTGACCCACAGTAAACCATTAAAAATGACTAAATTACCAAGAAAACTTTTCCTTTTTGAAAATATATATTTTACAATTTTTGTGAGGTTCCTGTGACTGTGTTGAGAATATTTTGGTAACTGTTCCTGATCAAATTTTCTCTGTGAAGAAATTGTCTTTTGTTCACAAACACTTTTAGATAATGTTGAAAAAAAGTTGGCAGTTCATCTTTATCAAATTTGTGAATAGTATGTCTAATTTTGATTATGCAATCATTATTTCTATGTTGAAAATGTTTGACAGAAAATTTGCTGTTGAATATTATCTTCTATTCTAAGTAGAGATAATACTTTGTACATTGCATATGCCAATCTTTTTCAATCAAATGAAGAATTTAACTGATTAGCTTCTTAGACCAGTTTGTTTCAATATTGAGATGATTTTAAATACAAACTTTTAGAATATTAGAATTTTAGAACCATAATTACAATATATTATGACACACATATTTTAGGGGTTTTGCATTATTGATTATATTTCCAATGTCTTATGAAAATATTCTCTTTTATTTGTTTTTGGTTAAAACTAGACTTTTTTTTACTCAGGTTCATTATCAGTTGTGTGAAGAACTTATTTTTTACTTTGTATTTATTTATACAAGAATATATTTAACAATTTTTTTCTGTTTTCTTAAATGGATGACTAAAAATGTAGCACAAAGAACAATTAATTTCTTGTATATTGTCTATTTGATATTAATGTGTAGCAAATCACAAAACTAATTCACTTTATATCAAGTAACATGCAATATTGGTAGAACTGTTTTGAATGCTTCTGATTTCACAAGGCTTTACACAAGTGAACATTAGATGTCATATTGTATTTAATGCTGCTGTATATTTTATGTTAATAATTCATTAATACCAAAGGCCTATAAAATATATAAGTAAAAATATCTTTCACTCAAACACAGGATTACCAATAGCATTTATGTTAATTTTGATAAAACTACCATTTAAAAGACACAATTTACTTGAAAGCATTGCATCTTTGACATTATTACATATTTGATAGTATGTGGCTTTGGTAAATTTATATACTATATGTTTAGATATATTAATAAATATATATAAATATTGCATTTTTAAACCTTTATTGTTTTGTGTACTATGCATTAGATACAATTAGTTTGCTACTCATTAAATTAGATATCATTAGATTGTCTATTGTACATTTGATACTATCTATTACAGTTTAATAGTATATATTTACTACAATTAAATGAATGGTACCAAGTCTATAAGCTACCAAAACATATTTAATATTGTAGAAAATTACATATCATAATATATAAAAGAAATTTAATATTCCACATTTTTTAATATGGAAACTGTTCAAAGTTTTACAATGATTTTGGATACGATTTTGAATGGTAAAATTTATTATTATTGGCATTATAGAAATTCAAAAATTAACTTATTTTCTGTTTAATAATGAATTTACATATTACAAATTAAATATTTATATCCAGTAGAAATTTCACCCCTTTGTTAACAGAGAAGTTATTTTAACTATTCAAGTCCCCTTTTTATTAGTGTACATACTCAAAGTAGTAGAACTGTAGTTTGCGAATCATATTTAAATGCTTGTTTTCACCTGAAGAATTAGAAAAAAGCTAGGATAAATTGAACTTTATTTGTTTTGCAATTCTTTTCTCTATCATATATATCTGCAAATGAAATAGACACAAAAATATTTATTAATTTTCTCAACACAAGGCTTTGGTCCATAAGAGAATCAAATATTTACATGAACTGGTACTGACTCTTTGATGATATTTGTTTTTAATCACAGGAATCTGCAAATGGAACCAATTCCGTTGTATTAATGGACAATGCATTGATTTCCATTTGAAATGTGATAATATTAAGCAGTGTAAAGATGGCAGTGATGAGCAATACTGTGGAGAGAAAACAACTGTACAACCAGGTAATGGATTCTGGTGCACATGCATGCATAGTCTTAACAAAGATGGCATAGACTTTAGTTTGAATGAGCTGCACTGTTATTCCTTCAGTAACTTATTTGCACTTGGTCATATTAAGTCACTCCCACTCCCACTCATTGAGTCACTTTAATGTAGGCGTCCGTTTCTATTTTTTTACTCATTGATTTTCAATGTAATTTATTCCTATCTATTTATTTAACTATCTATACACAATATCACAGTCTATTCAAACAAACAGTGGATTCTTTATTTACCTATCATGACATTATAATACTGTAATATTAACTGTAAATGGAGAGGAGGTTTTATATGCTATCTAATATGATATATCTGATATTGCTTTAACCTTTGGCATTGTATATTATTCATAAGTAAAATTCCACTTTTACTGTATTCTTTTTCAAAGTTTCTCAGTTACAGTAGCCTCCCTCCTCATGGTTGATTTCAGTCACAGTAATTTTCTGTTGCCATTTGAAGCAAGAAAACACAACCTCAAAACTTAAACACACTTTTAGCAAATGCAGTTGCCTTGCAGTGGCAGAACAAAACATAACCCCAAAATTTAAAAGAATTAATTGTTAAAATATAACTAATTCCTTCTATTTACTGTTGTTATTATTATTATTAAACAATTCTTTAGGAATTTTATTTATCTTCCTGCTTTAAACAGTCATCCAGTTGCAGCACACGACTTGTTTCATTTCTCAACTAACCAAAAATACACACTTTCTTTTCTTTTAAATCAACACATTCTATTATGCATTCTTATAGTTTGATTGTTCTTCAGGTAAAAACTTCAAACAAAGACCAAAAGAGGATAACATTATTCATTTTACCTGATGACAATTATATGAATTCCTGAATTTAATATATTCTGTCTTTGGTTTATTCATTCTGATGTGGGTTACCACACTTAGCCACAACACTGATATGTTAAAGAGCTGAAGGCAAGAATCACCATAAAACATTTTATGGTTTGAGTTTGCATTTCTTGCATGACATTTTAACACTGCTCCATCGTTCTTTTTTTCTCTTATTAAAGCAAGAATGGCTCAATGGATAGACATTAAACAATCCCATTACACTTCAGGGGATCATTTTTGTTTTGTCTTTCATCTGTCTACTTTTAATCTGTAATGCTTTGAAACATGAAACATTTAGCCTTTGTTGTTGCATTATTGCAGGAAGATGCACGTGGGACCAGTTCCGTTGTGACAATGGTCAGTGCATTCAAGCATTCCTCAGATGTGACAGACTGTGGCACTGCAAAGATGGCAGTGATGAGCAAAATTGTTCTGTATCTATACCAAAAAAAGGTAACAAAAGTCACATTCTTCAAAATAAAATGAAACATTGAACTTGGGAAAAACTTGCACAAGTGAGATAATAAGATATCATGTAACCTTCACATATTTTATCATAAAAATATTTGTGAATATTTTGTTACACTGTTGAAAATCTTTTTATAATATCATAACCATTATTGTTTAGCACAATTGCATTGTATTTATGTTATAAAATTCATTTTTAAACCTTCCAGTTCTACTGCAATTTATACTCAAAACTGTTCATCTTAATATATTTTGCTTATAGTCACTTTCTTCTGACCATAAATATTATCTTTAGGTTTTAGCTGTCATGAGTTTTATACTAATGGTCAGTATATCTTATAATTCTTCAGGATGGTGCTAATAAAGGATTTCTATAATAAAACTGCAGCTCAACCCTCAGATAATCATGTAAAAGTAACATTTTGTCTAAAATATTGTATAAATCGGATGATACAATTTTATAAAGATATGGGAATTATAAATGTTTGTTTCATATTTTTTTTTATCTCAAAATCATGTTTCAGTAAGCTTTATTTCAAACAAATTTTACTTTCATAGGAATTTTCAAGGTGCTTCTGAAGGAATAAGAAATATGCATTTAGACACAAGCCACTGAAAGGTTTTGTATTAGATAAAGTATACTCTTAAATTATTTGTCTATTCACTTATGGTAGCTAAATTTAAAAACAGTAAAAATAAAAGAGTTTTCTCTTCATATGCCAAAAAATTTCAAGCAACACAGAAGATTACATTCTTCTGAAGACTTTTTTCTTAATCATTTCACCCCAAGCAAGGCAATGAAACCACTAAGACAAAAGGGTTACTGAGTGTTAGAGAATATATTATTAAGGAGAGAGGACAATAAAAGAAGACAGAAAATAACAATTAATAATGCATTTAAATTTTTGAAGATCAAAGTTGACTGGAAAACAAGCTGGAAGAGAGTTCCACAAGTGAAAAATGCAATAGAAAAAACTGCTAGCATAGAACTTATGGTTACATCTAGCCAGTTCAACTGTAAAATGGTAAGCCTTTTCTACCAATCTAGTACTGTGCTTAAATTCATATAGTCTAGATACCATAGAGGAAAATTCATCAGAACATTTACCATGAAAGGATTTATAGAAAAGCAATTTACAAAGTAAATACAACTTTTTTCAACAATATTTCAGTTAGAGTTTTCCAAATATGATGCAATGATAATGATACATTAAATGCAGTGTAGTGTTGGGGTATTCAGCTAATATCAAGAAATAAAAGGTATTAAAGAAAAATAAAATATCCAAGAATGGAACTTTAAAGGTTTTTATAAATATAAAATTAAAACAGGTTGGGTAAAAACAGAAACAACTAAAATCCTAACTACTAATTATGATAAACTATAATTACTGGTAATATGGAAGAATATTATGAGAATTATAAATATGTTAAGTCAATCAGGTAGTTTTGAATATTTTTTCAGTGGTTAAATGTTTTTGGAATATGTAAGCATATGCCATGCTCAGAATTTTTGGGGATACGTCATGGTGAGTGAAAATCCAGGGTTAAAGGTTTATTTCTGGCAAAATATAAACTTAAAGTTTTTGATCTCTTTATAAAGCCTGTGTGCCAATGAAAAGTTAAATTAGGTATTCTTATTCTTTCAATAATTTTTATGAAGAAACAAAATTTATTAATTCACAAATCTTTATTATAAAAGAAAAATCATTATCTGATTTGTTCCTAGATGATTGATTATAAAACTTTATGTTCCCACGTGAGAATACCAATGTTGATGGGATCAGTTTCATTGTAGCAATGGGTACTGTATCCAAAGAAATATGAGGTGTGATGGCATTTGGCATTATGTTGATGGCAGTGAGGAAGATTTTTGTTTTTCACCATCAACTGACTCCCCAGGTAACAGCTGTGATAAATTCAAAATCAAGCAGCTTTAAATGTTCCAGGTCTTACTAACATTTAAGAAAATTAGTTGCAGCTGCACAAAGAATTTTCATTTCACACAGTGTCTAACATTTTATATGGCTTCTTTGCAAAGATTATCTTTTTGTTACACACCATCCATGTATTTGCTGAAACATTTTTAAGTTTATGCAAGCTGTTGCCATTGTGGTAAGTGTGTTATATATAAGAAAGTTATATTCTGGTGAAATTAAATTATAATATTGACCCACTCATTTATTTTGACTAAAACATGGCAATTCTTTAATTGTAATTTTCATCAAAATAATATATTTATTGTAGCATCTGTGTGAAGAAAATTTTCAAGGTGTTGGATTTTAATCATATCATTTTGAATGTATAATATCAACAACAATAATATTACTAATAGCCAATGGAAATTGTACTATATTTGCAAAAAGAGTTATTGAAATTTACATCTGCAGAATGTAAATAAATCCATGTAAATATCACCTTAAGTTTATTTATTGTGCAAAATACGCAATTATGGCACAAGGCCAAAATGGGGAGGGGTTGAGGCTGGTCATCACTATCTTATACCTGGCTAATCCTATTCATGATCCATTCATTCATTACAATTTCCACATTCACCAAAAGAACTCGTCCATCACCAATCAATCCTCCATACACCACAATACCTCATTTTTACTAAGGAGACCTACAAAATGCGCCTCGTGACATAAAAATTTACTGATGCTAAAATATATATAAAATTTTATGATGAAAAAATGAGAGGGGAGGGAGATGAACCCAATAACAAACTAAAATATAAACACTAATCAAATTAAACATAACTGATGTTAGTAGGGCCCGTCCAAGACTTCCTCCTGTCGCATCGTCTAAATCACCATTCGGGCCGTGGCCATCAGCGTCAGAAAAAAACATCCGTTTCCCCCCAGAATATGGGGGCGATACATTGTCACACGTGTATGCGCGATCAATGGGCACAAGCTTTTCGGGAGCGAGACGAGCCGTCAGCTCGCCGACATGGTCCCATAAGGGGCGGACCTGGGGACAATGGTAGAAGGCGTGCGAAGCCGTTTCTTCTAAATCAAGGCCACACCGTTCACAGTCTGGCAAATCCACCAAGCCCCATATGAAAACCTTGTCATTAAGAGGCAGCCGATTCTGAGCCAATCGCCAGGTAAGTGAAAACTCAGGGTTACTGAGGTAATCCGCCGCTGGCACCCAAGACCAGTAAGAGCGAAACTCATCCTCCGACAAGTCAAGCATATAACGTAGGGAATCCTTCGTGACCCCCTCCACTAGAAGATGATAGAAAACCTTCCTGGGCTGAGGTCACTGGACCAAGGAAGAGCCAACAAGGCCAACCGACACTCGCGAAGGAAATCCGATTGATCCCGGGGTTTACAATGGCACCCAACCCGCGAGATGGGGGGATGGATAGTAAGGAAAGGGAATGTGTCCCTAACAATCCCCGCCATAATCGAATCTCCTGTCAATGCGCCGCGTAGGAAAGCCAACCCCGAGGCACGTTTGTGGCTCTCCAAGTGTGGCACTCCCAGCCACACCCCATGACACGGACGTTGTGCACAGACTCGTCTGTCGACCCGATTCCCGCGTCCCCTCCATAAAATGGACGATAGTGAGCGTTCGAGCGGCTTCCTATGGTCATCACAGAGAGGAAGTACGGACAATCGATAAAGGACAATCGGGACAACGTATGTGGCACACGCCTCCGCCCTGCCCTTCACGGACAACGTCTGTCGATGCCAAGTATGACCAGCTGCGTCGACCTTTGCTCGTACTTCAAACCAATTTTTCTCCAACTAGAGGTCAGGTCCAAACCACACTCCAAGAATGCGGACAGGACCGTCCGTCCATCCAACCGAAGGGCCCCGGAAGATCACCCCCCTTCCAGGCACCTAACCACAAGCTGGACGACTTGTCGCGGTTAATCTTGGCCCATGTCACCTTCTCGTACCGATCAAGCACCTTCAGTACCGCCTCAATGTCGCTGCGAGACGACACGAAAGCAGATACGTCATGGCTGTACATAGAAACCCTGGCTCAAGCCCCGCCAGGAATGGCGATACCATATATGGCCGGACTGCACGCCCTGTCCCTCAGCCGGAGAAGGAGAGGCTCCAATGCCAAAGCAGGGTGACAGTGGACAACCCTGACCAACCAACCTAGACAGCGCAAAAGCGCTCGACAGCTTCCCGTTCACCTGTACCACAGCACTGGGGGAGCGATACAGCAGGCTAATCCAGCGGCAGAAGTCTGGTGCGAATCCGGCGGCCTGCAAGGTAGCGATGGTCAACCCTATCAAATGCCTTGGACTGATCCAAATTGATCAGCGTGGCCTCATCGTCGTCTTTTACTCCCTCTATGATCGTGCGGATCAAATGCTGGTCGCTCTGAATTGTTCGGCCCTTCACAGAACAAGTGTACTCCGGACTCAACAGAGACTTGGCAACTGACTGCAAACGCTCCTGCAGGATCTTGGCCAAAATCTTTAACTATGTGTTTAGCAGAGTTATGGGCTTGTAATTTTCAACAGCGTGTTCACACCCCTGGAAAACCGGCCGGGGAGGGACCCCTGCCGGAACCAGTTGTTGAACACTGAAGTCAAAATTGGGACAAAGATGTGCGACAGCCTCAAGTACAATTCATAGGGCAAACCATCCAGACCGGGCGACTTGCCTCTGCCGACCTTCTTCAATGCCGCATAGACCTTGCCCTCCGTGATCTCTCCCTCACAGCTAGCCGCTTCAGTCGGCGAAAGCTGAGGAAAGTCAGCTTAATAGCTGCAAAACTTGTCCTCATGAAGACCAGGCTCCTTGGTAAACTGGCTCTTGAAATGCTGCCGAAACGCCTCGCACATGTCGGCAGTGGCCTGAAGAGTACGCCCCTCTGGAGTTTCGACTTCACAAATGTAACGATTGCCACCTTGACGGACCTCTTCTTTGCGCAATTCTGCGCCCATGTTCACAGCTTCAGAAGACATCTTGCTTAACCTATGTCTAATTACCTGGCCCATGTAGCGCTTGCTATTCGAA